AAACTTTGACAAACAGCTATAGTTAAATATGTTCGTTATAATTCAGCTGGTCTCTACAGAAAATTCCACAGTGGAAATATGTTGTGTCTGTTCTTATCTGCAGTGCCCTCATGACCCCCCCAGTGCCTCATCTCGTAAGTTAATGAACAACCATGAGTGACCTCAGCACTCACATGAATCAGACATCTCCCTGCTCAGACATACTTCAGTGAAGTCACTGTCACAGAGTTTGTCTTGATGTAGAAAACATAGTTACTATAACTGGACTTTTCTCAAAAACACAAAGTGGCACGTGATATTTTTGTGCAGCTGCCTCTATGTCTGTGGTTGTGTTTCTTCTTTAAAGTTGGATTCCTTAGGACAGGACAGTGGATATAATCAGAAGTCAGGGAGACAGAGATTTGGGAATGATTTGTGGGAAAGGATCCACATATGGGTTTTATCCTTGGCTGCCTGCTTCAAGGCCCATGTACATGGGGCGCCCACTAGTAACCACTAGGCCACTGACGGCCCCTTAACTCTTTTAAAAACTGAATTACTGCCACCATCCAGGAAGACTGGGGCCTCTTTTTTCTTCAAGAGTAGACTAGATACCAAATAATAAACATTGTAGACAATCTGAATTGATGATAGTGTCTCTGCAGTGACAGTAAAATGAGTCAGGTGAGAAAGGTTATCCACATTAATTTGACAGTTTTGACTTAACCTTGTCATGATATTTTAGCTTTCCATCGGCAGCTGTAGGGATCTCATGAATCGACACACAGCCACAACTTATTTTATGAGCTCATTTCTCTGGTGTGTTTGTAAATTCTTCAACGGGGAGTATCATCAGACACTATTTGCCTGCTTCAATAACATAATCTGTGTGGCTCTTTCGAAGTTAAGATTTCACAAGCTGCAGTCCACCTGTTGAAAGTATTTTGTCTGTGCCAAGCTCTGATGAATATCACTGAACTTGCTCCACAGACACGTTAACATATGTCTGTCGCTGCTCGTCACAAGTTCTTGCAGTATGTGGTCTGCACTGCTTAATGCCACATGCTAAACTGAGTTGTATTTAGTGTCACATGAACCTTCAGGGATGCCCTGAATGGACATTTATCCATGGTTAACTTCTTATCCTGGCCAGTGTCCTGATGTGTCTAAATCATAAACTATTTTTGAATCTTGCAGTCACCTCAGCAATCATCTTGGAAGTTTTCCAGGAAAACGACAGCGATTTAAGCCTGTAGTTCTATATGCATGACTTTTTAAGAAATACCAGGCCAAGTTTCAGAGAGATCAGTTGTCCATCAGTTTAAAATGTCTTGGTATATTAATTAGTGTTGTTTTGATGTGCTGAGGTAGTTTGGGTTAATAATTCTGCTATTGGGATCGAAAATGTGTTGTGGTTTTAAGTTGAAGGTAGTTCCTTTTAGTAATGACAACTGATGTGAATGTGACACCTAAATGATAAATCCTTTTCAATATATCTGTGTGTGTTTCTCAAGTCTTTAAGGGCAATTTTCATGAAAACACCAGCAAACACTGTATCTCAAGTTAAAATCTTTTAGACACTGGTGTTTGAAACTTGTGATATGCACCGAATTTACTAATTTCTAGAAATATCTAAGAATCAAGACATCATATGAGTGTGGCCACAAAGATGCATGACAGGACAGAGTAGTTCAGAGACGTTCTGAAACCAGTGTCTCAGTCTGCAGAAACTCTACACTTTCCCCATAATTACATAAATTGTTGAAAACAAAGCTACAAGGGTGAGGAACCTATTTCATGATGATTTACATATGTTTTAAAAGGCCATTTATTTAAAGAATTCAAAAATGAATGTGATGTGTTCGTCATTATAACTGATATTTACAGCACCACTTAGAGTACTGATTCCTGTTTAAGCATGAGTACTCAAGAGACCTCCAGAAATATCTGTAAGTGCTCCTTCAAAATGCTCTACAGCCATACTTGTAGAGGACTACAGGAAATGAAGAAATGATGCAGGCTAGGAATGTAAACAATGATTGTTTATACTAAAACTACTTTCAAAGTCCTCAAATTGAATTGTTTTCAACCACAAAACCTCTTTAACTGCCTTTATCTGCCTGACTGCGTACTAAACTGGACCTTTTTTAATGATTTTAATAATAATTATAATGAATCAATAATTATTGTGTGTTTTTTTCCTTGATTATTAAGTTTTGCCTTTTAACAACACACATTGTAGAAAAAAAAGAGGTCATCAAGGGTTGAATGAAATGGCTCATGTGTTATTTGTAGTCAACTGTAAGTTAAGGGTTGCTATCCCAATAGTCCAACGCAGCAGGAAAGGCTGGGGATTAAACCCCAGCAGATAATCAAAAATGAATCAAGGAATTAAGATTAGATTATTAACAATAACTCTTTGGTGCAGCAGTACTCCGACCCTGTTATTTCCAGAGGCTCAAAGTTAGTGCTGATGTGCAGTAAGCTTTAACTCCTAGATCAACAAAACTGCATGCAATCTGTAGTGTGTTGTTGTTTTGCTTTGCATCTTCAAAGTGATAGATTTATTAATTATCCTGAATGTCAAAAACATCTTTACAAAATTAAAGTACATCATATGTTGACTTGGACAATATTCATATGGGTTTGGTTATGTTGTTGATTATTTGTCATTGCTTGTGCACATGTTGCCTTTCCTTTAACCTGGACTTAACTGCTTTTCTTGGCTTCACTATTAGAAGCACAAGGGCAGGACGGAGGAGGCCTCACGTCTATATTTATTCACGTAAACACTCTATACCTCGTTCTGAAAGTTTGACCTGTCACCAGTGTTAATTTGGTCACAAAGCTGACTCCCCTGTGAAGTGTATGTTTGCGACTGGTAATAAACACTCGCAGCAAATGTGTTCATAGAAAAGAGAGTGTATCTGACTAAATGCTACATCATTACTGTCCCAGTTTCTCAAGCAGTAACACAGTGCAGCCATTCACGGTGGGCTGATGAACTCAGTGAGATCAAGTCGATGGCTGACAATGATTCATGTTCAAACATGTTTGTGGTGAGGATCAGCATTTTAGAATCATTTATAATCAAATAATCAGAGAGAAATGGCTTATGAAGAAATAGATATGGTGGATACATTTCCCAAGAAGAAGCCTTTTAACGTACATGTTAAAGATTTGATTTGAGATAAATAAATAAATAAAACCAACTCAACTAATAAATACTGCATGTTCCTGTGGTTCTTATTACTCCAAAGATGGCAAAGTTACAAAACATGTCCAGGCCAGCCCTCTGTTTGTGCGTCTATGTGTGTGTAGGAGAAGATAATATTGTCATGATCCTGACTTCTGTGTGGATTCTCTCTCTCTCTCTCTCTCTCTCTCTCTCTCTCTCTCTCTCTCTCTCTCTCTCTCTCTCTCTCTTTCTCTGTCAGACACGTGATGACTTTCTGGGACAGGTGGACGTCCCCTTAAATCAGATACCGGTGAGTCCTTGGTTGCATGAGATACTTCTTCTCTGTATTTTGACACTTATGACTTGTTTAAGTTCACACAAGTGTAATGTATCTTGTTTTTACTTTTAACATTTACTGTACAAGCTCGTAAACTCGCTCTCACCCTGTTCCATGTAAATAAAAACATGCGTGCGGCGTGCCCTTATTCTAGTGTCTGTTCCACATCATTGTCTGAGATTTTGGAAACACAGTCAGTCATGTTTATGTTACCTTCCTTTTTTCTTTTTTTTTCCATTCAACACCACAAATGATTTACTGTTCCCCATGGTTCACTGTCAACATCATGTCTTGTTTTCTGTTAAGAGTACTACTGAGGATTTATTATGAAGGGTTTGTGTTTGAAGACTTAAAGATTTTCTTTCTATTGTTTTCTCAGACAGAAAATCCTAACACAGAAAGGCCATACACATTCAAGGATTTTCTGCTCCACCCACGAAGGTTTGCTTGATTTCATGGTTATTAAATCTAATGTGTCCTTATTTTATTACATCCCATTTTTATGTGTTTCTTTGCAGAGGACATGATCAGCCTCGATTCATACTTTACTTTTAAACATCCCTGACAATCGACAGATTGAAAAATAAATTGATCCCAAACTTTTTTTATTACTTATCAATATATCATAAGTAATAAAAAAACAATTATTACTAAAAAAAACATTATTCATATTTCTCGATGGCTTAATTAAAAAGAACTACTTTGTTTTATTGTGCAGCCACAAGTCAAGAGTCAAAGGTCACCTGCGTCTCAAAATGACCTACCTGCCAAAAAACTCAGGTTCAGAGGAGGAAACGCCAGATCAGACTGAGGACACCACGGATGTAAGTTAGGCTAAAGCGACACAATGTCACCCTATTATCTTCCAAATACCCCAGATCCTTTTTTGTTTAATTAATCAATGTCAATATCCTTCTTTCAAGACGATGCACTTTTTCAGTCAGTCTGTAAGGCTTTCTTGAAGCTTACTAGCCAATTAAACACAGATTTCTTTTAGTGTGCAGTTGAACAGCTGGCATCAAGATATTGTCTCCATCATGATTGTAGTCCATTGTAGTCCACTCTATATGTTTTGCAGCGTGATTGGGAGTTTCTAGAGGGCCAGGACATGTCAGGTCCAAGACAAAGCCAGCTTCTGCCCGCTCTGCCCCCTGGCTGGGAGGAGCGGCAGGACAACCTGGGAAGGACCTACTTTGTCCATCATGAGAGCAGAACTACACAGTGGCAACGACCCACAATGCAGTAAGAATGCTCCTCTCTCCTGAGCAAAACTAGATCCCTTGCCTTGATTTCATGTACTGATCGACCGTGTGTTTGTGTGTGAATGTGTGTGTCTGCGTGTGTGTCTGCGTGTGTGTCTGCGTGTGTGTCTGCGTGTGTGTCTTTCTATTACAGGGACAGTGATGTTGGGATGCAAAGAAGACCCAATAATAATATGGAGGCGCATACTTTTACTACACGCAGACAGATCTCAGACCACGAAGAGAACACCACAGGAGAGTCTCCTGAGGTAATCTTAACTTTTACAACCAATTTGCATTCCTTTTGCATTTTTCCCTTTACTGTGTCTTGCTTATATTGCTTTCCTGTGCTCTGTTCAGATGTAGCAGTGTTTTCCCTTTTTTTATGGAGAACAGATAATGATTTATAAAATCTAGACAGTTTATTTATATTCAAAGAAAAAGACATTTCATAATCCCAGCATGTCTGACTAAAGGTTTGTCATTTATTGTTGGTATTCACTCCATTCATAGTATGCCTCACTTCAGCAAGCCAAAGGCAGAGCAATGGTGGCGCTTTAGAATAAAATAACAGAGAAAACAGCAAGAGCAAATAAGTAAATCTGTGAAATAAAACTTTTTTTATCTGGTTGTTTTCACATTGTTTATTTTTCTAAAAGACAAATTAGCATGACACTATCAGTTGTACTGTCCAGTGCTGCAACTGACATAAAAACGCCCTTAACTCCACCAACTGTCTTTTAGATTGTCGTGTTTTTTTTGCCCAAAAGGTGATTGTTTATGCTTATTTGTTTTACTCTCACTGCTCCCAGCTTTTAGTAAAAAAAAACTGAACCCGCTATAAGGCCAGTGTACCCTACAGTACCTGCTAAGCGGACAGACGTGCTCATCATAGTTGAGCTTTTAGCTGATAAAGAGCTGAATATTCCACTCAGAAGTTTGTAGAAACCAAAAAACTGGTTCTCTGTATTTGCTGGATGTTTAAATGGGAAACCGTTTGCCAACTTGTTTAACATACCAGTTTAAAAATAATGATTTGTTTGTGTGTTAATCACTTCTTGACTTTAGCGCCTCAAGTAGCAAAAGAATACAGCTTATGCAGGTTTAAGAATTACACAGCACACTGTCCACAACCCGATAGTTAAAATGTATTTTTACGGGCAGTAGATGAGCGATTTGAAGGCTCTGGATCCCTTACTGAATCAAGTGGTGGTTGTAGCAGTGTAGTTCTGGTGTGTCCTCAGATGACTTGGGCATAAACACCTGAAGAAATCCACTTTGAATTACTCCAAACAAACTAACTCACAGGTTTACTGTAAAACAATGGCTTACAGAGTATTTAAACTGAAGAATTTGTTAATGCTATTTTAATTTATTGTAGCTCAATCACACACTGTGTCTGTTTTGTATCCTCTTCTAGAGCTGGGAAATGATAACTGAGGACGAATCCACCTTGTATCACAGCAGTAACCAGGTGACATCAGCTACACCCCGCGATCACATTTCAGGGCCCACTGCTGGCACCTCCCAGACAGTGAGTCCTTTTCTTTTTATTCTTTTTTGCAGCATGAGGCTCTGATTATCGGAAGTCAGAGGAAGAGAGACTCATAATAAGATTTATACGGACCACAAGCTTTCAATGGAAAGAGGAGTGGAAAGTAAATGTACATTAATGGTGATTACTATTGTCTTTCACATCCTTCTGCTGCAGAATCATGCAAGTAATTCAAGCCATTCCAGTGTCAGAAGAAGTTCCCAGACTTCATCAGGAGAGGAACATCCTGTTAATCCTGTGGTAAGTGTTTCACTCCTTGTTGAATCACTCCGTCCTTCTTTTTACCAAGCCTGTCTTGAACCACCAAATTAATGTATGAGTGTTCAAGGCTCACAGGTATTTCTTAATTTATTGTCACAGCTTCAATATTCACTATTAAAGTAGTGCGGAAGTATAAAATATAATAAAAAAGATTTAGGAGCAGTTATATATGTTGTTTTCTTTTATTTCCTCAATAACCCTAAGGTTGTCAGTATTGATCATTTATTTAAATGTAATGTCGTTCAATAGCTGCTTCCAACCTCGTCTGGGTTGCCTCCAGGCTGGGAGGAGAAGCGTGACAACAAAGGCAGACGCTACTTTGTCAACCACATCAGCCAGTCCACTTCATGGACACGACCACTCATTCAGGTACAATGCAGGTTTTCTCATGAGTGGCAATGTGTATGTGTACTGTCATGACAGTTTAATTGTGACGGTGACAATGTTTAAAACTCTCAAGCCCAACATTTAAATCTCACCCTTTTAACAATGTATTATCTGACATGTTCATTGTTGATCAGAAATCAAGTGACATTGAATTATTTATCACTAGTACCTCTCTGTGTTAACATTTTTGGTGTTACATTTTTGTTTGCCAGAGAACCTCAGAGGCAGCAGCAGCAGCAGCAGCAGCAGCAGCAGCAGCAGCAGCAGCAGCAGCAGCAACACAGAGTAATGCAGGTTTACCTCGGAGCCCAACTCCGCCTCAACTGCCTACATCCCCAGAGGAGTCTCCTCAGCACACCCCAAACCCTGAAGCCACGTACGAGTCTGGCTTCCTGCCAGCTGGTTGGGAGGTTCGTAGTGCTCCGATCACACCAGTGGCACTGATGACAGGCATTCAAATTAAAATGCAAATATCTGTTTTATAACAAGATAAAAACTGCTCATAGTATGTTTAAATCTTCAAAGTTAAAAAAAATCCCCCCTATGTGTAAAGTGTAAGGGGGGGGAGGCTCAAACTGGCTGCTGTTGAAAATTTGATTGGGACCAAAGAAACTATTTAAAAAAAATGTATTTTAGGACATTTTGGATGAATTGCTTCAGAATAGTAGAAACTAATTGTTAATTACGTTTTGAGTATTGAAGCTTATCATATTGTATCGTGAGACACCCTGCAATTCCACCACTTATATCCTTATATACATTTTGATGACCTTTGTTCGGCAGCTTATTATTCTTCACTCTAGTCTGTACTTTACAACTGATGAAACATTTTTTTTCAAGGGAAAGAAGTTTTGCCCTACAGTGGGCTTTGATCAAGTTTGCCCTGTAACAGTGTTTGTTGTTGACAGAACTGAACTTTTCAAACAATCACCAATCTATTGGAGGCATTACGATGATAACTTGGGAGAGTAATATGTAAAATGTCAATTTTCCTAGATGTTTCTAGCAGTTCTCTAACAGTTCTTTCCCCTGCTCTTCCCTCAGTATCGGATGCAGACAGCAGTGAAGGAGGCTTCCAGCTGAAGAAGGAACATGCCCTGCGAGTGCTCGGATACATCAGCTCCTGGACACAGAGGTCAGTGCTGCTGGGATTTGAAATCTGTCATTGAGTCTATTTGCAAAGTTAACATGATTAGATCAGGTTGTGAAATAGCTTTTGTTATTATTTAGAGTTGGAAGTTTTAGGTTCCTTCAGACTGCAAAGACCTGTAGCTCTAAAGATATTTACCTTTTTGTTTAAAGTCTGTCACTTCTTAAAATTACATTAACATATTTCAAACCTGGGCACTATTTCCACATCTTGGGGACATAATGTGTATAACGAAAAAAGGCTTAGATAAAGCTCCAGCAGATTGCTTCATCTAACTGCCGATAATCACTGTAATATAATCACTTCAAACAAATATGACCAATCAAAGTAAATCCACTAAATGTTCTTGTTTTTTGCAACTGACAGGCTCTGATTTTAATTATTCCATTGGTTGTTTGTTCTGTCCAACAAATAATCAAGAAAGTATCCCTGCAGAAGCAGGCATTCTTTTCTCAATGAGAGAGTCTTTTCTTTGGCAAAGATTTCACCTTTAAATTGTTCTCTTAAGGGCGTACTCACACTAGGCAATTAGTACGCTTCAAGCACGCTTCACCCCTAAGTCCAGTTCATTTGACCAGTGTGACCACTCCGATCTGTGCTTAAGCAAGGTACACCTCCTTGGCCGTGGCATGCTTTGAAGAGGTGTGCTTTGGAACGGGACAGTTCATGCATGAACACAATTCAATTCAATTCAAACAACTTTATTAATCCCTCTTGGGGCAATTGGTGTGGAGCAGCTCGTACACATAACGTGGTCAGCCTTCATTATGGAGAAATCCTGGAATATTATGGCTGTTTCTGACTAAAATGACTCAAAATAAGCTACAAAATCAGTAAAGTATAGCTGTCATGTCTCTGTGTTGTTCTTCGATGTGAGGACACGGACTCGACTGCGCATCCTCTTCTGAGTCTGCCTGTCTTGTAAACTGAGCACGCTTCATGATCACTTAAATCCATTCATATGTTGTATTACGGCGTTATGTACAAAAGGTAACCATGCTCATGCTCGGTTAGTCCTGGAGCAGTGTGAGTGCATGCCAGCGGGGGATTGGGAATGGGGAGGGGGGACAATTGTGCTTACGGTACAGGACAACTTTGCCTAGTGTGAGTGTGCCCTAAGACTTCACAGAAGTTGTTGGTTTCCACTGCTTTGATAAGTTAGTTTCTTTACGCTTTAGTTGGACTTTGGTGAGTTTAGATCCTACACAATGTGAAATATACAATGACAAAAAAGTAGACCAAAAAGGACCCCCCCTCCCCATCGTATTTTATGTAAAAATAGAAAAATATGGCCCATGTTTAAAAGTGTTGAACTTAAGAGAAAAGTCACACAGACAAATAGCGCGTCTTCTGCTCTTTCTGATAGCAGGAGTTAATCACTAGAAGTTCTTGTCTGGCCTTTTTTCGAACCCCCTGCTACTGTCAGGTTATAATAAAGGTGTGTCTTTAGAAACCATGAGAAAAGGAAAAATATAAAATCTAATTTATTATCTAAGTTTTGGAAAACCATCTTGAAACTGATCTGAAGCAGAGAGAAGTCAGGGAAGAAAGGGGCAACACTCTAGCCTTCCTGCCTGACAGCCTGGCAGCCGAAATAATCAGTTCTATGGAAATAAATGATTAATTATCTTATTATTATTGTCTTCAAAAATATCCAAAACCAAATCTGTTAAAATATTGGACTGTTGATTTGCACGGAGAATCATGGCTGTCAGAGGCCATGGAGCTGGTCTGATGATGACTCTCTATTGTTAAAAGTTTTTCTATTCATCCAGCTGGAATGTTTTTATATTTAGTTTCTGATGAGGACTTGGAAGACGCTGACCTTAACTTTCAAATACTGCTGACTCATTTCTTCAAATGTGAGCATGAAGGAAGCTTTATTGAGCCTGCTGTGCTGAACTTGTTAGTGTGTTATTCTTCCATCTGTGTAGAAGTCAGAGGAAAATGCAGGAAGCCACAGATCAACATTTGTGCTTTCAATATAGAATGTGACAATAAAGTTGAATTTGTTTTTAAGTTTACCTATTGTCATACAGAATTTGGACAATGATTAGAGAAAGATCAACATTTAGAACATTAAAACCATTTCTGAAATGGATCAAGTCAGCCCAGGTTAACAATGTTGAAAAAAAACCAACTTTTTTTTTAAAATTAGAAATGCTAAATATCGATATGATCCCCAAAAGTCAATACTCTGATACCTAGATTTCAACCCAAGGCTGCCTAGCTACAAAA